GCAAGGTCTGCTGCCAGTGTGAGCCATACGGGGTGCAGTGGCTTCTGAGGGCTGGGACAACTGAACATAGGGAAACCAATCCTGGGAGACCAATTCCACTTCGTGGCCCTATGTAATCGGGGTCCTTTAGGGCTCTCTTCTCAAAAGAATGCCTTTGACATGAATTTACACTTTACACCCTTATATTATTCAGCTTTCTGTCACTAGAAAAAATACCTAGGAATATTAACTTATAAGGATGAAAGGCCTATTTTGGCTCACAATTTCAGAGTTTTCAGTCCACAGTCACCTGGCCCTTTGTTTGAGCCCACGGCAGTGAAGTACATCAGGGAAGGAGCAGGTGGCAGAGGGTTTCTAACTTCATGGCAGACAGGAAGCAAGGAGAAAGAGAGTAAGGGGCTAGTGTCCCACTTGAAGGACAGAACCCTAATGACCTAACTTGTTTCCACTAGGCATCAACTCCTAAAGATTTCACTCTAATAGTGCCACAGGTTGGTGATAAGTTTTTAACATATGGGCCTTTTGGGGACACTTCAATTAGAACATGAGTCTAAAATTTTCCTTCCTTCCTTCCTTCCTTCCTTCCTTCCTTCCTTCCTTCCTTCCTTCCTTCCTTTATTAAAGAGAGTATGAGAGGTTAGGTTGGTGAATCTATGTCCGTTATAACAGATTAAGTAAGATTTTTAGACCAATCCCAACTTGCCTTCAAGTTAAGGAAGCACAAGAGTCTTTTCAAGGTTCCTGTAGGGAATTCCTAGTCTTCTCTGAAATCCCCTGGAGGATTATTTAGGGCAAATAACTAGATTTCAAAGAGTGGTCAACAGTAAAGTGAGGATGTTATTATATTACTTTTAATGGTGAAAAATGTCAGAACTGGGCAAAAAAGAGCTACCAAGTTTGGAGTAAGTTCTGAGACCCAGAATACTATCCTAATGGCCTGTAGCCACTAACTATCCTATGATAGCATAGTTGTCTTTCTCTAGGAGTTTGAGGAAAACAAATTACTATGTGATATTAAATTGTTTTAATATTCCTTCAAAAGAASCAAAATATTATGCTGAAACCATATTTATAAAGTGACAGAAGCCGGACAACCGCTGTGTATACAGGAAAACCATGATAAAAGGAGGACACCCTAGGCAATTTTCATTTCCCAACACTCTTGCAGGTGGTTGGGGATCATGTGATTTAATTCTAGCTAGTGGACTGGGGCCACAGTGAAGTGCACCATTCCAAGTCTTGGCCATGCACATTTTTACTTGTGTGAGTCCTGAACTCTCTCTTCCAAATCTGTAACATCACAATTGAGAAGAAATCTGACTTCTGGAATTAAAATCCAGATATTTGCCCTGAATAATTCTTAAAGGGATCTCAGAGAAGACTAGGAATACCCCAAAGGAATAAAAGATTCTTGTGCTTCACTTAGGGTGGGCTGGGATTGGTCTGRGAATCTTACTTAATCTGTTATAACGGACATAGATTCACCAACCTATMCCCTCACCTGCTCTTTAAAAAATGAAAACACTTTAGACTCATGCTGTCATTAAAGTGTCCCCGAAAGGCCCATAAGTTAAAAACTTGTCACCAATATGTGACACTATTGGAAGTGAAATCTTTAGGAGTTGGTGCCTAGTGGAAGCAAGTTATATGGCTTATTTTCAATTCTGACCTATATTAGACTCCGACTTGGGCAAAACCCAAATTTTTATTGTTTTAAGCTACAAAAATTTTGTAGTTATTCATTAGAATAATTTAACTGCTATCAATAACAAGTGCCCTGTTAAGCTCACACTGTGAAACAGGGATCTAGTGCTGGATGGGAAAGATAAAAGAAAGAAGGGAGGAGCCCTTCTTTCTTTCCTTTTTCCTCATGAGGAAGTCTTTCAGAACAAACATCAGAAATGCATTCATCTGGGGTC